AGACCAGCCACTGATTTAAGACAGCTGACCCATTCTTAAATTTAGAAGTCCCCCCATATTCTTCAACATTTTTTCTAAGACTAGGTTTTTTTTTTTCTTTTTTTTTTGAGAGAGATTTTTGTTATAGCGCACATGTCCTCATCAGAGAGACAGAAAATGAGAAATCACCCTCCCCCCAGGGAGAATGGCCACACCACAATCCCTTCTTCTCCATTCTCCTCTTGGGATCTTGGGCACACATGCACACATGCCCAGCATGAGTTTTTAAGCCACCAAGTCCAGGACTCAAACCACAGTCAGCTATGTGGGAGTCCAGTGATGCAACCACTACGCATCTGCTGGTCCCAGACCAGTTTTCAAATGGACATTTGTGTGTGTGTGTGTGTGCGCATGTGCTTGTGAGAGAGACAGAGACAGAGAGGAAAAATAGAGCTTGTAGAGTTGTAGAGACACATTTGAGTCTCTTTCAGAGAACATGTAAAAATTGTCACGGGAGCTGATGCTGCTGAGGGTGATTTGGGTATGAGAAGTGAACCATCCCTTCAGCTTCAGAACACAGGACTGAAAGTTGCACTTTCAGGGAACGTTTGCAGAAGTATCCCTTGCACTCTTGGAAGCCACGTCACCAGCCACCCTCAGTCTGTAGTGCCCACTTCCTCCAACCAAGTGGATCAAAAGTCAGCAACTTCTCCTCCTCCGACATATGCTCCAGTGGAGCATGGCGGCAAGCCTTTCCTCTGCAGGAGCAGTCCGGCTGCCACATGTATTCAGTTCTTCCTTCCCTGCTGCATTCATTTATTCCACAATCTGAATATGTCTGTCCCTCAGGGGAAACAAAAATGCGTTCTTGTATTTTATATCGTAAGGAAGAGAACAATGTTATAAGACAGAGCCAATTTGGGGGATTTAGAGAAGGAAGAGATTAATCCTACTTGAGGGGCATCAAATAAAGCTTTTTAAAAAAATTATTTAACTTTATTTATTTATTTGTATTTAAATTTGATCAGAGAGGGACAGAGTGAGAGAGAGAGAGAGAGAGAGAGAGAGAGAGAGAGAGAGAGAGAGAGAGAGAGAGAGAGAGAGAGAGAGAGAGAGAGAGAGAGAGAGAGGGAAAGTGAGAAAGCAAGCCACCAAGTCTGGGACTTGAACTGCAGTCAGTCATATGGGAGTGCAGCACCCTTAACCACCATGCCACCTACCAGCCCCAAAGAGGGCTTTCTTTTGGGGGGAGAGTTTTTTGCTATAGGGCACACGCACTTGCCAGAAAGACAGAGAGAGACGGAGAGACAGAAAGCAAGAAATCACCCCCAAGGGGGGATGGCTACACCACAGTCCCTTCTCCTCCATTCTCCTCTCAGGATCTTGGGCATGCATGCACACACGCCTGGAGTAAGTTTAAGCCATCGGGTCCAGGAGGAGGCCTTGGATCAGTGCCACGGCCTAGACGTATTCCTTAATCGGGCACTGGTGTGTTGGGAGGGAGAAGAGACCCAAATCAGAGAATCCATTAGGATGTTCTTGAACTGTTTCTGGTGAAAGGTAATGACTAGAGGACTAGGGACAAGGAGATAGGTTGTAAAGAATTGATGTGACGGAACTGGCAGGGTTTTGTGAAGATTGAATCAACTTGTTAGTACTTTTCAGATCTCCGGCACTCAGAACTCTGGACACAAAGCACTGACCAGCACAATCCCACATCAGGGGTGGACCCGGTGTGGAAATGACCTTTAAAGAGAAAGCCTGGGGGAGGCTAGCAACTAGTTTTCATAAGGTCCTTGGGGTGCTTTATTTTAGAGGAAAAGTCATAAAATGGAGTGAAGGCCTGTTCCTTGCTGAACACAGGCATGTAAGCTAGTTAAATTTTACACATGTGCAGTATGTCATGCCGTCTCCATGATAACCCTACAAAGCACTTACTCTTATGCCCATTTGACAAGTGAACACACTGAGGTGCAGCGGTCCCATAACTGTGCTAGGAATTAAGTCTTGGCCCGTCTGATGCTAGAGCAATAAACTGCTTTACTCTATTGCTTTGATAGCTTGTTTGGATCAGGCTGTTTCTGAATGAACTCTGAGAACAATAATTTTTTTTTTTAAATCTATAAAGGCAAAAGAATAGAAAAACAAGACAGAAGTAGGTGTACATATGTGTAGCTGTGATCTACCCTGAGAATGATACCGGGAGGGAAAGGAAAGCTAATGTTCTGACGTAAGTGCTTCCACCAAGGTCAGCTCATTGACTCTCCCCAACGGCTCTAGGAAACAACTGTCCGGGGACATAAAGTCATAACTTAAGGTCACCAAATTGATGAGAGGTGGGGCACAGCTGTGAATCCAGGCTCTCTGGTTTTCAGCCCAATTTATTTTCCATAAATCCTGTTGCTGAAAAGTGATAGCCTTGGCCTGTATGTTATCTTGCAGGTCTTGAGTGCCTTAGTGCCTGTCATAAAATAAATACTTATTGTAGTAAATGAAATTAAACCTTGGACAAAACTAAAGCTCATTAAAAAAGGATTTGATAAATGAATGGATACCACATAGGTATTAGAATAAGCTATCTGCACTGGAAGGATGCTATGGTTTGAATATGTCCCCCTAAATTCATGTGTTTACATTTGATTGTTATTGTGATGATTTTAAGAAGGTGGAAACTTGGGCTGGCCTCATAGCACAGTGGTTAAGCATTGTGCTTAGGGAGCCATACCTCACGTGGCTGACAGTGGTTCAAATCTAGCTCTAGTGGCTTGTAAAATACTCCCTAGGCACATGTGTGTGAATGTCCTAGATCCTATAGGATGAAGGAAGGGAGGAAAAAGTATTTTGGTATGACCATATCCCATTGCGGGATGTTCTTTCTCTCTCTCTCATGTCCTCTGAGAAGTATAAAAGAAGACAAACGGGGGAAAAAAGAGAGTAGAAACTTAATCTGAGTGTGGTATTAAGAGTTTGGGGTTTGGGGAGGTGATTAGGACTAGATAAAATAATCTGGATGGGGCTCCTAGAGTTGACTCCTGGTCACCTTATAAGAAGAGGAGATAGGAATATGCATTCTCTGGCTCTCTCGCCATGTGATACTCTGCATCACCTTGCACTTTTTTGCAGTGAGACACCACCAACGAGAAGGCCCTGATCATATGCAGACCCTTGATCCTAGAACTCCAAAACCTTGATCTGAATAAACCCTTATTCTTTACAGATTGCCAGTTTGTGATATTTAGTTGCTAGTGACAGAGAATTGAACTACAACAGAAAGTTGGTACCAAGAAGTAGTGCTGCTTATCAGAATACCTGAAAATATGGAATTTGGAACTGGATAATGGGCCAAAGCTGGAAGGGTTTGGGGGAATAGTATTTTAAAAAGCCTAGATTTTGGTGAAGATTCAGAAGATGAGAGATGTAGGAAAAGTTTGAAATTTTGTAGAGATTAGTTAAGTGGTTGTGACCAGAATGCTGATAGAAATGTAAATAGCAAAAGCCATTCTGATAAGGTCTCAGATAAAAATAAAGAATATCTTGGGGCCAGCAGGTGGCATGGTGGCCTGGGCGCTGGACTCCCACATAGCTGACTGTGGTTTGAGTCCCGGACCTGGCAGCTTGCTTTCTCCCTTTCCCTCTCTTTCTCTCTCATTCTGTCTCTCTCTAGTAAAATCAAAATAAATAAATAAAGTTAAAATAATTCTTTAAAAAAATAAGAAACATCTTATTGGAAATTAGAAAAAAAGGTTATACTTGTTACACTGTTGTAAAGAATTTGCCAGCATTGTGACAATGCCCTAGGGCTTTGTGAAATGCTGAATTTAAGAGTGTCGAATATATGGCATTAGAAATTTCTAAGCAAAAGATAGAAGGAATTTCATAGTTACTCTTAACCACTTAAAGTGAAATGAGGTAGCTAAGGATGGCTTGACAGAATTTATAAAGAAAAGAGCAGTGAAATAGAAAAATCTGAAAAATTTGCAAACTGACTAAAAAGTGAAAAGATATGTTTGGGAGAGAAGAAATCAAGTGACAACTTGCTAAAGAAATTAGCACAAATAAGAGTCAGATGCTAATCCTGAATACAAGAGGAGGGAATGCCCTTATGGCATTTTAGAGATCTTCAAGGCTACCCCTCCAACCACAGGTCCAGAGAACGAGGCAAGCTAATGGTTTCAGGAGACAGTCCTGGGGCTGGCTCACCACCTCAGAACTTTGTTGCCCACATCTCAGTGCTGCACTCTTCAGCCCCAGTCACAATTCAAGCAGCCCCAGGTGTGGATCAATCCACTGCTCCAGAATGTGCAAGCAGCTTACCTTGATGACATGCACATGGGGGTAATTCTACAGGCATGAATGCAAAAACTATGGAAGTATGGAGACCTTCACTTAAACTTCAAAGGATTTCTCAGAAAATAGGTAGAAACTAGTCACAGGAGCAGAACCATCATAGAAAGTCTTCACTTTGGAAATACCTACTGGATCCACAGGGGTGGGGCTGTTTTTCAAGCTGGCAGGGCTGGAAGTCAAACCATGGTTGACCATGTGAGATCAGGCTGCCCCCACACAGTACTTAACCACTGCACTACAGGGCCTGCCCCAGACTTTAACTTTTTGAGTAAGTATTAGAATAAGTTGACTTTGGAGATTGTTGGGATGAAATTAATCTAAAATACATGTGAGAAAGACGAATTTGGGGGCTATGGGTGGAATGCTATGATTCGAATGCATCCCTCAATATTCATGTGTGGAAATTTGGTTGTTATTCAGATGATATTAAGAGAGTGAAAACTTAATCTATGACATTAAGAGGTGGGGCTGGGCCAGCTGATGGTATAGTGGTTAAGGTGACTGGATTCCAAATAGCTGATTGTATGTTCCCACCAGGAACATGTGCATGCATGGCTAAAATACCAAGAAGAGAAATGGAGGAGAAGGAATTGCAATACAACCACTCCCTCAGGGGTTGTTTTCTCACTTTCCATCTCTTTCTCTTTCTGTTTCTCTCTCTCTGGCAAGTGTACACACCCTATAGCAAAAATTAAAAGGAAAAACAAAAAAGAGGTGACGATTTGGGGACGTAGCTAGGATTACATAAGTTTATCAAAGTGGAGCCCCCATGAGTGATTCCTGACGACATTATAAGAAGAATGATAGACACGTACATTCTCTTGCCCTCTCAACATGTGATGTGGTGCTCTACGCCACCTCAGGACTCTACAGAGACCCTCCAATAAGAAGTTCCTCACCAGATGTGGCCCCTTGACCTTGGACCTAAGCTAAATAAACCTACGTTTTTGAGGGTTTTTTGTTTTTGTTTTTGTTTGTTTGTTTGTTTTTGTATGTGTGTGTGTGTGATTTTTTTGCTATAGGGTGCATGTGCTTGTCAGAGATACAGAAGCAAAATAACACCCCTCATTGTGGGGGATGGCCATGCCACAATCCTTTTTCCTCCATTCTGTTCTTGGGATGAGCATGAGCTTCAAGCCATCAGGTCCAGGACTTGAACTGCATTTGGCCACTTAGGAGTCCAGTCACCTCTGGCCCCATAAACTTATTTTTTTGTAATAAATTACCCAGTCTGTGGAACTCAGCTTTTAGGAGCAGAAAAAAATGAACTAAAACAGAGAATCTATGTTAAATGATAAATGCAGTTTAGAGACAAGTACAAAGAAAAGAGTTTTCTTATCAATACCCATCTCTATCTCCTCCTTATGATATGTGATAGGAAGTATCTATCTAAGCACCATCTAAGGAATATTTTTGTCCAAAATCAGAACTCTAGATTCAACTATTTTATTGGGAAGATGGGCTAAGAGAATCATGTTACATAACATCTCTGAATTTCAACCAGTAGAATTCTATACGTGGTAAACTCATAGGTGAAAAGAGACTTAAGAGACATTTCAAATAAATGAACTTTCATAGACTGTGTTTAAATCACAATATGGACCTTGTTTAAATCTTGATATAAATAAGCCAACTGTAGAAACAACCAAATATTTACGTAGCAGCAGGAGATGTTTAAACTCTGATTACATATTTAATAATGTTAGAAATACTTGTGGATAAACTGATGTGTTGCTTGGAATTTGCTTTAAAATAATCCAGGCGTGTGTAACTGGAGAGAGGTGTGGGTGGCAGTGTAGACAAAATAGTTCTGGCCATCTGTGGATGGGTTGTTAAAACAGGGGGGAGGTGCAGAGGGATTCATGGTACTATAACCTCTGCCTGTATGTATGTTTGGAAATTTCCATGATAAAAAGTTAACAAAAAGCAATAAAATAAGTGGACCTACAACTTAATTCCTTCATCATGATGGCAGTAGAAATGGTGTGTGTATATTAAGTGTGTGTGAGATTGTGAGTGTGTGTGTATGTGTGCATTCTCATCTCTGGTGTTAAGTTGCAGCTCCGAGAATGACTGTGTTCTGTGGAAAAGACCTTTTTGGCAGGGGTAAAGAATGTTTCAACCTAACAGGCCTGAGGTACATTGGGCAGGCAGGCACAAACACAAGGCCCCTACTTAGGGGACTGCTGGGGCCAGCCCCACACGGTTATTCCCACGGTCAAAGACGGAGTAAAATTGTCGAAGGAAGACATCTCCCAGGATCCAGGAGGGCTCAGTTAGAAAATGCAAGCCTTCAAAGCCACTGCTGCAGAGCCTCATGCCATCTCCCAAGGCCTGTGGTTGAAAAGACATATGACATACAGGGAAGAAGGAAGAAGTGCTGCCTAGAGGCTATCCTGTGTAGGGGTAGTGGCCGCTCACTGGCCTTGGACAACTGGGAGATTCTACCATTTTGGTTAGTGGGCTCTTCTTCCAACTTTATACACCTTACCCTAGTTTGTTCGTAAAGTGTTCGCAAAGTTCATTCATGGGAGCCTGGGCATCTCTGCTACAATTTTGTAAACTGGTCAGCTGCTATCCACCCTACCTTTACCAACATTTTACAGTGGGAAAAGATGAAACCTTATTGCGTGATGGGAAGAATAAAAGGTTGGGTGCTGGAGGCCTTGGTTTAAATTCTGGTTTGTTTAGTTTCTAGCGAAACTCAATCCAACTTTCTTAAGGGAGCGAAATTACTCTCTAAATGGCTAGCCACTGCTAGTTCCTTGTTGATGGTCTCGGAAGAATCACAGGTGTGGCTCCTTTTAGGTAGACCGCCAGCAGGCATGCATTGCTCTGTGAGAAGAGTAACCTTTATCTTTAAGTTTGGCAGACGCGGTGGGCTACCAGGCAGGTGTGCTCTTTCCAACAACAATTTGAAAGTTCAGGTTCTGATGAAAGAGTGGGAAATTTCATAGAGGGCTTGAGGAGACTTCTTGGGAGGAAAAGAGATAAAAAGTCAGCTCTTATCACATCCTTGATGGATTGAGGCAGCTCTGAATGAAATCTGCTGGCACCATCTTGGGCAAGGGGAGGGAGTAGGGATGAGCAGGGACCCTCATGGGGTGAAAGTGAGAGAGTGAAGGGTGCTGGGGTGGTGATGGGCATGTGCACTCAGTCTAAGCATCTGGTTTGTCCTCAAGATGGTGTGTGCAGTGGCAGCAAGAATTCCTATGTTGCCGGAGCTTAGGGGCCTAATCAGGGAGCTGCATTTTAAAGAGAACTCCTGTTTTTATTTGGATTGTCTGTTTATAGTTGGTGGCTTTGAGAAGGAACTAGCAGAGATCAAGGCATGGGGGCTAAGGCTGAAACCTTCAGTCTTCACCTGAGTGTCTTTATTCTGCTGCAGTCATCCCAATTCTGTGGGTGACTTTTGGGCAAAATGAGTGTGTCAAAGTGTGTCCCCAAAGAACTGCAGTACAGAAAATCCAAGCCAGCTGTGGTGCAAAGTAATCAGAGGTTTCCAAAACACCCAGAAGTTCCCTTTCCACCTCACCCTCCAAACTTGGGCAGCTACTTGCAACAAAAGACATGTTCTTGGTTGACCAAGCATGCTAATTTGAATGTTAGAGGACAGATAAACTTATTCTGTAACCCTCACAACAAGCAGCTTCGTTCTTAAACCATTTACTTAACTCTCAATATTCTCATATATAAAACAGGATAATAATATCTCCAGTCTGACGTGGTGGTTGAGGGCATTAAATTTTGTCAGTTGGAAAGCCCTACCCGGCAATATCAAAAAACCTTAAATGGCTTCCAAAGTTTGCTGCTGTTTTTTGGCGGAACTGGAAATTGGAAGTAGCCCAGTGATTTTTCCACCATAGGTGGCTGGTCCCTCCCAGTGGGAAGGCCAATTAGGGCAGGATGACGTGGGAGGGAGACTTTGTGTTAATGTAACTAAGTGCAGGAGACTGAAATGGGGAAGTGGAAGGCATGTGGTGAAGGCCTGTGTCTTGCAGAATAAGGAAACTCTTCTTACCTGTAGGACGTAGGCAGTTGGGCTGAGGGTGTAAAAAAAAAAGTAGGGAACTCCACTGATGATGAAGGTGACATTTGGCATGACAGTGAGGTTGACACACTCCACAAAATACTGAAACACAACACAGAGGTTGCATGAAGAGTTTTTCCATCTTGAGAGAAGGCCTGGCTCTCCTGCTCCTGTCCCCTCCCCAGCCCAGAAGGACTCACAATTCCGTTCACAAGTGTGGCCCCAATGGCTCTGTGCAGCCGCTCTATCTTGTTCAAAGGGCCGATGATGCGGGAGGTCCCAGTGTCCACAATGGCCTGGCAGCCCTTGGAGCAGAACATCATAGTGTCTCCCACCTGGACTCTGAACACAAAGGAATCTTTGTGAGCCTTGCATCCTTGGTCCCCTGCACCCCTCATTGCCTATTGGGTGCTCTAGTTCACTGGAATACATCAGTCATTTCTATTTTGGTTTCACCCACCACATTCCTCGATTTTTTTTTTTTTTAAGGTTTTAGCTATACGGCACATAGAGGCAGAGAGAAGCAAAGTGAGAAATCTTCCCCCAGGAGGTATGGCCATATTGCAATCCCTTGTCCCCCATTCTCCTCTTAGGATTTTTGGCATGCACGCATACATGCCTGGCATGATTTTCAAGCTACCAGGTCCAGGACTCAAACCATGGTTGGCCATGTGGGAATCCAGTGCCTTAAACACCACATCACCTGGTGGCTCTGACATCTGTCAATTTTTAAAATGGTTTATTTACTTCTATTAGCAAGAGAGGGAGGCAGACAGACAGACAGCTAACACTCCCAACAGGGTTTTGGCACTGTGATCCACCCCCAGCCTTAGCCAGTCTTAGCTTTGGGGCATGTACGTGCCTGGTGTACTTAAAGAAGGTCTCTGGACATAAACCTGGACCTCTCTTGTGTAGGCCAGCCTTGCCTGTGTAGTATCACTGCATCACCATCCAGCCCCTATTTCTGCTTTTTTATTTTTGGATTGAGAGCCATAGTAAGAAACATATTTACTTTTGACTCAGTACATATACACACATACACACAAAATTGAAATGCACACTGGTATTTTCTATAATATTCTATTTCATTTAAAAATGTATGTAGGACCAGCTTCAGGACCTGCTAGATAGGGCAGCTGGATCCCCTTGGCCAACTGTACAATTTGAATACCAGACTTGATGGCTGAAAAACACTCTAGCACTTGTGCGTGTGTGCCAAAAATCCCCACAGGAAAAAGAGATGGCGGAGAAGGGATTGCAGCATGACTCTTCCCCATGTGGAAGAGTCCCTCCCTGTTCCCTCTTTGTTTCTCTGCCTCTATTTGGTAAATCATGCACCCACTAGCCAAAAAAAGTAGGTCACAGAGCTGGGAGGTGCCACAGTGGTAAAATGTGACACCCTGCAAGGTTGACCCCCAAGGTTAGGTTCTGGTTTGCATCCCGAGACCTCCCCAAGGAAGTATGCTTGGGCCTGCTTGTGCCCAAGAACTAGGGGTGGATCATGGTGTCAAGACTCCGTTGGAGGTGCTCTCTCTCCTTCTCTCACTCAGGGAAGAAAGAAACTTATTTATTTATTTATTTATTTTTTAGAGAGACTTTTGCTATAGGGCTTGTGCTCTTGCCAGAGAGACAGAAAACAAGAAATCACCCTCCAGTGGGGGATGGTCACACTACAATCCCTTCTCCTCCATTATCCTCTTGGGATTTGGGGCACGCATGCACACATGCCCAGCGTGAGTTTTAAGCTGCTCGGTCAGGGACTTGAACCATGGTCAACTATGTGGGAGTACAACAACATAACCATTACACCATCTGATGGTCCCAAAAGAAACTTTTTTTTTTTTTTTGAGAGGTTTTTTGTTACAGGGCGCGTGTGCTGGCCAGCAAGACAGAGAGAGTTAGAGAGACAGAAAGTGAGAAATCACTCCTCAGGGGGGATGACCACTCCACAATCCTGTCTCCTCTATTCTCTTCTCATGATCTTGGACATGCATGCACACGTGCCTGGCGTGAGTTTAAGCCACCAGGTCCAGTACTCGAACTGCAGTCGACTACGTGGGAGTCCAGTGACATAGCCATTAAGCCAGCTGCTGGTCCCAAGAACCTTTATTTTTTTTAAATGTAGGTTATGATCCCCTAAAATGATGCCATGACCTATAAATAGGTAAATCTGTGTAGTCTGAAGAACCCTCAGTAGACCATGAGCATTGAGACTCTAATGCTGGGCCCTTTGTGGAAACTTGAGCTTGGCTGAATTAAAACTCGAATTATACCTCTTTGAATTCCTGCATCTAGTCCCACTTCCTCAGTTGTTCCATGCCCAGTTGCTGTCTATGTTTCAAGGCTCCATTTCACTATTACCCCTCCATGGAACCTTGAGGGTTCTTGAGATGGAAATTTTCTTGGCCTGTATGCTGGGCCGGCACTGCCAGTCTGTCGGATTAAAGGCACACTGAGTATACAAATAAGGGACCTGTGCCTGCTGCCCTGGTTACTGATGTCCCTTCCTGAGCCTTTGCTCAGCACCTCCTCCTCCACAACCCACACACAACTCCCAGCATCCTCTCCTAGTGACCAGCAGTTCATTCAGTTGGTCAGATCAGAGTCTTGCCAGTTATGAACTCCTCTGTTGCACCATAATGATTTTGTGGAGGGTACTCACCCATCCAGTGCAATCTGCCAGAAGCCTTGCTTGGTGACTGGGATCCAATTCAGGCTCCCAGAGAAATGGGAACAGTCATAGCCTCCAAAAATCAGCTCGCTCCCTGTGCCATTTTCTATGTCACTATATGGATAGAAAGACAAGTGGTGGAGGAAGGGCCACTGAAAAGCTTAGAGTGAGCATCAGCTGGAATGCTTTGCCTCTCGGTCTCCACTCACACCAAGTAGCTAGGTAAGCAGAGACATAGGCCTGGGCTTTGAGACCAGGACTTCTAACTGCTGTGAGTGGATTCATTTGGGACCTTTTTGGCACAAGGATAGAAACAGTTCTGTTCAACTGTCTACTTCCCCTCGGCTCCTAGCAGCTACCATTCTCCTTTCTGTATGAATCTGACTACCCTAGGTACCTCATATCAGTGGAATCATACATTTGTCCTTTTGTGACTGGCTTATTTCAGTGAGAAAAATTTCCTCATTGAAAATTTCCACATTGAAGCATGAGTCAGAATTTTTTTTTCCCTTTACGGCTGAGTAATATTTTATTGTATGTATATATCACATTTTGCTTATCCATCTCTTAATGTATAATTATTTTATGGTCAGCTTTCATTTTAAGTTTTTCGGGCCTTCCCCCTAGGGATCACTTAAATTTAATCCAGTGTGGTAGAATTGACAAAGTTTTCTCATAAATGCTTTATGAAGCAAACTCCATTTCCCCAATACTTAGAGAAGCTAAGTGTTTTGTCCAACAGCTTGGCAACAGACCAAGCAAGAGATCTAACGCAGGCTTTTAATGCTAAGTCCAATGTACCATGTTGTCTCCCTGCAGTTATAACTAACCTTAACTGGTGGACTTGATAGGCCTTACCTGCTCATGTAGACAGAAAACATTGGTTGAGCCACCATGTTGTGGACTATCATGTTGTCAAACACCGGGGTTGCTCCTGTGACAGACAAGGAGGGGTATCCCAGGCCCAGAATTCCATCAAACGCTGCGTAGACAAAGTGTTGGCCAGGCTCTGTGACACTTTCTCCAAACTCTTGGTCAACCACAGTCAGTCCTCCTACCTGACAAGAGAAAGCCCACATTATAGCATTATAAATAATGTCATTTAAATCTGTTTTCCTGCTATATAGAAATTGGAATTATTTTTGTATGTTGACCTCATTTTCTGCAACTTTACTAGATTTACATATTAATTCCAATATTTTATTTGTCGGTATTTTTGAGTTTTCCACACATAGAATTTTGTCATATATTAATGACGGTGTTATTTCCTTCTTTCCAATTTTAATTCCCTTAATTTTTTTCTTCTTGTCTTATTGCACTGGCTAGGATCTTCAGTATGATGTTGAATAGAAATGGTGACAGCAAAGATCTTTTTTTAAGAGATTTTTGCTATAGAGCGCATGTGCTCACCAAAAAGACAGAGAGAGACAGAGAGACAGAAAGCGAGAAATCACCCCCCAGGGTTGGGGGGATGACCATGTTGCAATCCCTTCTCCTCCATTCTCCTCTTGGGATCTTGGGCACGCACACACATATACCCAGCATGAATTTAAGCCACCGGGTCCGGGACTTGAACCACGATCGACTACATGAGAGTCCAGTGACATAGCCCTTATGCCAACTGCCAGTTCCAAGATCTTTGTTTTGTTCTTGATCTCAGGGAGAAGTCTCTCAGCAATTTGGCATTAAGTATAAACTTTGGGTCCAATTGCTGTAGAACTGCGGTAATGGTAAGTTCCCGACAAGGCTGGAAGCCACATAGTGGACTGGGGATTTGGATCCCCAGACTGGCTTGGAAAATAGGCTTGCTGTGTGCATGAGTGCCTAAGATTTTGAACACCTAGAGGGACTGGGGAAAGGAGATTGTTGTATTATGTTATAATGAGACCCTGATGAAGATACTCTCTCTTGCATACGCAGATGCATACTCTCATTAAAAAATAAATAAAATAAAAAAACAAGGAAAGAAAAAAAGAGAAAGCTTGCTATGGGCTTTTTTAAAAATTTTTTTTATTAATTTTTTTGGGGTTTTTTTTTTTTTTTTTTTTTTTTTTTTTTTTTTTTTTTTTGCCATTGAGGTGTACACTTGCTAGAGAGAGATAGAGACAGAGAAAGAGAAAATGAGAAATCACCACTCAGGGCAATGGCTATGCCACAATCCCTTCTACTCCATTCTCCTCGCAGGACTTTGGGCACACATGTACACACACCTGACATGATTTTCAAGCTACTGGGCCCAGGACTCGAACCATAAATTGGGCCTGTGATAGTTCAGCACCTTAATCACCATGCTATCTCCTGACCCTGATAGATATTCACCTGATTATTCAAGTTACTTTATATTCCTAGATTGCTAAGAGGTTTTGTTTGCTTGTTTGTTTTTTTATCATGAACAAATGTTAAATTTTATCAATCTAGATGATCACATGATTTTTCTCCTTTATTCTCTTAGGTAACAAATTCCTGGAAAGAAAGGATTCTTGGTTGGGTTGAATTGTCCTTTTATATATCAAAAGATTTTATTTGCTAGTATATTTGTTTAGAATGTTTGCATCCATCGCTTTATAAAATGAGTAATGAAGTCTTCCTTCCTGAAATTTTTCTTTTTATCGTTTATTTCTTCTGAGAGAGAAGGACTCCTACAGGGTATTCATGTCACCGTCTATCCCCTGTCTCAGTCAGCCTGGGTTCTAGGCATAAACCCACATACCCAGCATGCCTGGAGAGGTCCTAAGACGAGAACTCAGAAGCTTTCCCTTGTGGGTCCAACTGTGTTACCAACATGCCACCACCTTGCCCAAAGTTTTCCTTCTTTATGAATGGTCTGGAAGAGTTTGGTGTTAAATATTTATAATTCACCAGTGAGGCCACCTGGGGCTGGAGTTTTCTTGGTGGGAAAAAAAATTTTAATAACAGAGTCAATATTTAGAATAGATATTGGAGTATTCATATTTTCTATTTTTTCTCCTTGTGTCAGTTTTTTTTTTTTTTTTTTTTTTTTTTGGTTACTGTTTTTTATTTGTTTGTTTGTTTTTTAACCACAGGGCTCATGTGCTCACCAGAGAGAGACACAGAGAGGAAAAGTGAGAAATCACTCCCTAGGGATGGCCACATCACAGTCCCTTCTTCTCCATTCTCCTCTCAGGGTTTTGGGCATGCACACCCACACATGTACCTGGCATGGTTTTCAAGCTGCTGGATCCAAGACTAGAACCCTGAAGTTGGCCTTGTGGAATTCAGTGTCTTAACCACTGTGCCACCTGCTAGCCCCTTCTCATGTTAGTTTTGATTTGATATGCTGTATTTCTTTCTTTTTTTTTTTTTTTTAAAGTGGTTTTCCTTTTTTTGGAGAGGTTTTCGCTATAGGGCGCGTGCACTCGCCAGACAGACAGAGAGAGACATAGAGACAGAAAGCGAGAAATCACCCCCCATGGGGGATGGTCACACCACAATCCCTTCTCCTCCATTCTCCTCTCGGGATCTTGGGCACGCACGCACACGCGCCCGGCGTGAGTTTTAATCCACTGAGACTGGGACGCGAACCGTGGTCGACTACGTGGGAGTCCAGCGACATAGCCATTACGCTAACTGCTGGTTCCCAGATATGCTGTATTTCTTAAGGCAACTGTTGATATATATATATACCTGTACACCTGCATGAGAGACCCGGGTAGGACCAGGACTCCCCTGGTTTTTGTCCCCACAGTTGTCTGATCCCCACAATCCTGGACCCAGAAGATCTTTGGTCAGAGGGTCGTTAAGAGGCAGCTTGTGAGTTTAACACCAAGTTCAAGGCTGACCTTGGTCCTGTTTGACATCAAGGATCTGCTCCTCTCGGTGATTAGACTCCCCCCTCACACTTTGCCCCCTTGTTTCAGTAACGAAGTCCCCATCTTGAACCCTGGCTTGGACTTCTCAAGATGGAGCCTGGGCTTGTCTCCTCAGCTCTCTGGTAACTGGTAATCGAGTTGTGACCTCAGCTACCAGACTTTGTGCATGGGCCACCATTTCCCGCCGGAGTGCCCCCTTTCCCCTCCAGGACCCGGCATGCTGAGCAGACTGACCTGACCCACTGCCGCCATCTTGGGTGGGGAGTGTTGCTCTCCCACCTACCAGGAGTGCCTTTCCCTAGAAGCTATCCCTGCCTCTGCCCCCACATCTTCCTGAAGGCAGTCTGAAACTGTTTCCCTGAAAGGGCTGAACAGTGTCTGTCTCCCATGTTTCTGATTAAGAGAGAAAAGATGAAAAAATTGCACTCACAGAGACACGGTCGACTCCTGTGATCCCGGATAAGCTCCCGGACCCATACTCAATGAAGAAATTACTGCCCTTCTTGCTGTATGTGTTGGACCGGGAAGAGAAGAACTTGGTGTGTTTCTCTGGAAAGCAAGGATGCTGCTTTGCGCAAGGCCTTCAGCTCACTGCCTTCATCCCTGCCCTGGGGCCGCTCAGCCCAGAGATGAGGGATCTCTTCCCTCAGCTCCAGCACGAGGTGGGAGCCCCTGGAAAGGCTGGCCGTGGCCCTCCTAGTGAGTACTACATTCTCCTCTAACCATGGGTGTGGCATCATTGGGAACCAAACAGTCCCTGGGCAAACCCAATTGTCCAAATCGAACGCCCGAGGCACACCAAGACAAACACCATTCTCAGTGCCAGCCGCAGTCTCCGCTGCCTGGTGTGGGCCAGAACCCGGACTTCAGAAGACATGCAAGGGAAACAAATTGCCACTCCAGGAAGTGCTCCCAGCTCTCCACCCAACCCGTGGTCACCTAGCCTGGGGTTTCCAGAAACAGTCTGTCTCTGGAACTTGTCCTGCCTAGACCAAGTCATCTTTTTTAAACTCTATGCAATCCTCACTGACCAAATGGACTCACCCACACTACTGTGCCCCACCCCGGCTGCACTGGGATCTGGTGGGCCCCCGAGCCTCCTGGAAGCAGGTAAACAGCTTGCACTAGCACCTGCCTACCTGTTCAGAAAGAGCCAACTGAAGGGAACTTCCCCCCACATTTCTTTGGCCTTCCCAAGGAGGTAAGTCACTCATGTCAAAGATGTCGATTTGCAGTGGCCGAGTTTCTCTCTTGACCCTGATCAGTATGAAAGGTGCTGTCTTGGACAGCAGCCCAGATTCAGTCTCTCCCTGGCCTAGCCCCAAGTCTGCTGTCAACAGCTCCAGGGCAGGCCTAGAGCTGGAGAGGGGAAGCTGGTGTAGCAGGGATGGCCACTTTCTGGCCACCTTTTCTAGAGGATCAGGCCCTGGCTTCCCAGCACTACCCCCAGTCATCTCCTGCTGGGGCTCCTGACCCCACGTACCACAGGCTGGGCTGATGCAGTACACAGAGGTGACCCAGAAATCGGAGGAGCCAGTGTCGAAGAGGACACTGAAGTTCTGCAGTGGGGAGCCAATGGAGACGGTGCCATAGTACTGCATCTACAGGGAAGGGAGGAAAGTGGGGTGTGGGTGGTGGGGAGGGGAAAGGGTGCTAAGGGAGGGCCTAGAGACTGCGGCCTGGAGCTTACAGAGCCTGGGGAGTGACAAAGCTAGGAAACAAAAGGTAGAAGAAAATAAAAGGTTGAAGGAGCAGAGGAGGCTGAGGGAGGAAATCAAGTCAAGCCCTCCTCCTTCCCTCGATTTCACTGGCATGGCCCTGATTCTCACAATAACACAGGAAGCACGGCAGGCGAGGCAGGATCAGGGTCCTGGTGCTGGGAGAAGTAAGTGATTTGCCTGAAGCCACATGGCGGAGAGCTGCCCAGCTGGGAGCAGAGCAGGGTCCTATAGCGTGGGATGCTTTTCACCTCATCCCTTTATTCTCTTAGAGAGCTCTGCACATCTGGGCCAAGTCCCCAGGAGCCGAGGGGGTCGGTCCACATGCGCCATCCAAGCAAAGCCACAGCAGCTTTCAACACTGGCGCTCACTATGGCTGAGCCTTCCCCCACGCCCCACCCCTGGGCCCAGGATGCCTCACATTGAAGGAGTTGGTGAGGGGCTCCTTGCTGATCTGGTTCCTTACGCAGGACTTGGTGAATTGCTTCATGTCCAGATTCTGGGATTTCCAAAACTTCGACAACTGAGGCAGTGCCCACGGCTTCTTCCAGGGGGACAGCTGCCTCCTAAGGGGTACCCTGGTGACAATGCCGCCAGTGAGAAGGAGCTGAGGCTCTGCCTCCCTTTTTTTCCTTCCCTGCTTTCTGCCCCATTTTTTCCAGAGGGTAGGTGGAGGACGACACAGGAGGTCTGTAAGGAGCATGCCTGGGCATCCCAGCATCAGTGCCCTCAGTCCCACCACTGCCTGGTCTCACCTCTACCCTGGGGATTCTGGGAATCTTAGAGTGGAAATGGCCTTCCCTCCGGAGACCAGCCCCTTGAGTCCTTGCAGGAAAATGGGACAGTCTGCAGTTTAGCATGAACTCCATGAAGGGCTAGTTTAAAGGGGCAAACCTTTGGAGCACTGATGGCCAGCCCCTTGGGGAAGTACTTGGGAGCTTCGGGCTGTGAGCCACAGCAGCAGGCTCTTGCTCTGCAGCACCCCGAAGCCTGGGCTGGCCCTCCCTGGAGCAGAGGCAGGGTGCCCTGTGGGCTGGAGATTCAGGTAGGCACAGGTGGCCGCAGGCGGCCACGTGGGGAGCCTTTCTATCACTCAGGAGAGCTCTCTGCTTCTTCTTCCATTTCCCCATCAGCCTTTCTCTCTAGGGCAGCCCTGAGCTGGGGTGAACGTGGGGCTGGGGACGTGGCCTCACCTGTGAAGTGGTCTTTGGGCCTCTCCCAGGCCCAGGAGCACCAGCAGCAGGAGAAGGAGCATTTTCACGGTGGGTCCGACCCGCAGCTTCTTCCTCACTCTGCAGCACCCTTTCTTGCCCCCTTTTTTCTTCTCTCTCGCCGGGCAGCGGGGACTAACTCTCCCTACCTCTCGGACCTGCCCTGCCCAGCCCAGTCTGATCACCCAATGATAAGGCCAGGGGACAATAGCCATGCCCAGAGCAAACACAGAATGTGTGACAGGGCCTTCCCCTGTGGCCCTCTGATGCTTCCCTCCTGCATGGGGAGTGCAGTGAGAACTTGAGGGTCCGTGCACCCCCTGAGGGTCAAAGGTCAACTGAGGCACAGCTTCTGCTGTAGGCTTCAGCACCAACCTTGACCACAGGAAACTCTGCACTAATTAAGAGAGTGACGTGTCCCTAGACACCACCACACTGAACTGTCACCATGAGTGGGCTAGGTGATGGCTCTGCAGGAGTGGGAGCCCACTGGCCACACATGTGGCAAGATTCTAACACAGCATGCTTATCAGTCTCTGTTCTCTGGATTTCTGACTCCTGATTGACAAAGGGTAGGCACAGAAGCATGGGGACATTCGTCAGAGCTGATGTGTTCTTTCTGCTGGTGACGTGCTATCCCCCTTGGAGCAGAGGCAGCTTGCCCTCCCCAGGTACACTTCAAAGCAGAAAACCACCCTCCCCCCAAGGCACCAAAGTGGGAAAATTTGGCTTTGGACACATGACCCAGGTTTCTCACCTCTTTTTTGTTTGTTTGTTTTAATCCTTTTGTTGTTGTTTTAAGAGAGATTTTTGCTATAGGGCATGTGCATGCGCCGGGTAGACAGAGAGAGACAGAAAGTGAGAAATCACCCCCAAGGAGGATGGCCATGCCACAATCCCTTCTCCTCCATTCTCCTCTCTGAATTTTGGGCATGTATGCACATGCACTCAGTATGAGTTTTTTAAGCCTTCAGGTCGGGGACTCGAATCGCAGTCGACTACGTGGGAGTCCAGTGACATAACCATTACCATCTGCTGGTCCCACTTTGAAACCTCTTTAATGTGCTCCCATTCTCCAGGAGCCCGTCTCTGACCTTTCACTGGGGAGCAGGTCTACCAGAAGGAGTTCATGGGTCAGAAGTGGCTGGAAGTCGAGGTAACTCATTTTAGCACTGGGTTCTGCCATGGTTGGCCCATAACCTCCTAACCACCAGATCCTTAGCTTTTCACCTGTCAGATTTCCTGCCTCTATCAATAGATTGTAAAGAGGATTAAGACACAAAATAAGGTTTGCAGATGTATTTGGAGACATATTATATGGATTGAAGGTCGTCACTATAGAAGCCTTGCATGGGGAAGGCCTCTTATAGACCCTCAAGGGAAACCCAAGTATGAGAAAACTGAGGTACAGAGAGGCAAAGGGATCAGCACGTGGCTCATTTAGTGGCAGGACTAAGATTAAGAGCAGGCCACCTAACTTCTGGTCTGGTGATCATTCAGCTACACAACTATAGCATCTTTATCACTGAACTGTTGTAATGAGCACAACCATAGCCCCTTCCCCCTTTCCTGCCTTCCAGACCTCTCCCACATCCCTCTTGCCTCTGCTCACGAAGAGTAGAGGGTTGGTTGGCTTGGGCTTGACAACAGCTGCTTGGTCTGTGCAGCTGCGGGCTGCCTCACCACTGGGAGCAGACACAGCCTGGACTGTCTGCAGGGAGCCCCAGAGTCTGGCAGGGTTTTGGAAAGTTTGGCAAAGGTTAGGAGCAGGGCCATGAGACATTTGTTAGAGCTGATGTGTTCTGTCCTCTCTGGGAACAGCAAGACCCAAACCTGCACTGACAGCAGATAACTGCCTTCTCTCAGGCCAGACGGAACAGCTCTGTGGATGACGTGAACACTTTACAGAGAATAAAAGTCTTTGGATTTGTGCGTGATGGGGTGTATGTATCTTCTCTGAGAACATTTGAGATGGAATCGTGGCATGTAGGCAAACACAGGGCATTGTATAAGCAATGATCATCTCTCAGCCTTGGGAGATGTCTTTGGGAAGAGAGAGACCTTCAGGAATGCAAATTTGGAGGTGGACAGGATGCTGAGTTTTTGCCTGTTACCAGAACGTGTTGGATGGAAGCTGATGGTGACACTATCTAATCCACTTCTTTCTGGGATTTCAGCTTCCAGAAGGTAAATTAAGAGGACAGGTCCTTGGTGTTCTGTAGAAATCCAAGCCAGTGTGTGTTATTGAAAGCCACAGGCTGGCCCCGATCCATCACAGGGAAGTCCATGCTCCAGGGTGCTCTCAGCCATGCTCTGGCAACATCAGCTGACCAACTGGAAAAATCTCCCAACCCCTTTCTGCCTAAAGTTGGTGAGTGAAAAAAATCCACCACGCTGTGTGGGAGGAAGAGTGCTGGATGGGATGCCTGGGCCTGGTCTTGACTTTGCCTCTAACTGGCCAGTGACTGCAGGTAAGTCACCTCTAAGTCATTTCCTTATCTGTAAAATGAAGAAGTTAGGTTAGGCGATACCCACAAGGGACATTTGGGGGGAGGGGTATAAGCTATGTGCCAGGCTCTGAGTTAAGAAACTTAGAAATTAATTTAAACTTCCCATTAATCCTATCAGGTAGGTTTGTTTTTGTTTTTGTTTTTTGTTTCTTTTTTTTTTTTTGAGAGAGAGAGATTAAGGTGCTTGCAGTCTCAAACTTAGAAATTAATTTAAACTTCCCATTAATCCTATCAGGTAGGTTTGCTTTTGTCTTTGTTTTTGTTTTTGTTTTGTTTTGTTTTGTTTTTTGAGAGAGATTTTTGCTATTAAGGTGCATGCAGTCTCCAGAGAGACTGAAAGTGAGAAATCACCCCCCCTGGGGAGGGGGAGGAGGATGGCCACACTGCAATCCCTTTTCCATTCTCCTACCGTGGTTGACCGTGTGGGAGTCTAGCGCCTTAACCAGTATGCCACCTGCTGGCTCCAGTAGGTGTGATTTTTAAAGCCCATTTTACAGATGAGATAACTGAAGCCTAGAGGGTGTAAGTAACTTGCATGAGGCATTGTATCCAGGATTCAAACCGAGGTTTGCCTGACTTTAAAGTCATAGTCTGAACCATTATGCTCCATTGGAAGATCTCTAGGGCCTGATATTCTAGAATTTTTTTCTTTGGTGGGGGGGGGAGGAGCAGAAAGAGAAAGGAAGAGAAAGAGAAAATAATTTTCCACATGGCAACAATGTGGGGTCTTTTTACTGTGAGAAGAGAAAAGTGTGTGCAGGGCGAGGATAGAGGACCTGCATGAGAGGACCTGCATGATGAGAAGTCTCATTGCATGCTTTTGGCAAACATCTGCTATTTTGCCTCCAAGGAGCCTCTCAGCAAGGATCATTATTGTATTGCTAGAAACAAACAAACAAACCTCCATCCACCCCTCTAGCCTCTCCCACAGTAGATGACGAAACAATACAAGTTTAAGGTGACCACATCATTTGCTCATTGCTGAAAGAGAGCGCCTTGACATAAACACTTTTTCCATGTAACTTGACCTGCTTCGGTTTAGCAAAACCTCTTGTTTTCATGCAACTGGAAACAAGCAGGATCCAATGTTTTCAGCATCTCACTAAAGTAAGAATTCAATTAGTTTGAGCCATTTCCAAAACCGCTGTCAGTTCTGGGAAAGCGTCTCTCTAATCTGAAATTGCTGCAGCAGCCAGCAGAGGGCGCAGGCAGTGGGGACGTTTCCCACCTGTGTACTGCCCGAGTGCTTGAGCATACATTTCTGTACTTGTAAACAGGAAGGCTTTGGGCTCGCCAAGGGGAGGGACTGCACACTAACCACCGACTTCTGGGCTTGTCCCTGAGCCCAGGCTCTGCAAACAGGTAATGCAGGGCTTGGATTCAAGCTCAGCCTCTATCCAAAGTGTTGTGTGACTTAGGGGATGTGTTGGAGGCTCAGATTCCTCTCTGTGGAAAAGGAAGATGGAGTTCTTTGCAGGATGACATGAGGATCCCATGAGACCATCCTCAAGAGGCATGCTTTCCATCTGCCAGCGCAGTGCTGGACACCGAGTACACCCTCAGCATAGGTACTCTGGCTAAACCACATGCACCCGGGCAGGTGTCTGATGCTGATACAGTACCCGCTTTAAGTGGCACACTGTTTTGTGTGTTTTAAATGTAATAGATAATAAGTCCAGAGACATAAAGGAATTTGTCCAAGGACACACAAGCAGTAATGATGGAACCAGGCTCAATTCAGTGTGGACAACAAGGACCATTATCATATTGCTAACAGGTGCAAAACCCCTCCACGCACCGCTTTTCACTCTCCCCCATAACACTAGATTACAAAAAAAAAAAACAAAAACATTTAAGATGATCAAATTATTTGTTCATTTGTAAAAGAGAGTGCTTGATGCCAAACATTTAACTTTTTCCATGTGATTTGATCTGCTTTGGTTTATCAAAACCCCTTGTTTTGGGACGAGCAGATGGTGTAATGGTTATGTGGCTAGACTCCCATGTAGTAAACCAAGGTTCAAGTCCTGGACCTGGCAGCTTCAAAATCACTCTGGGTACACGTGTGTGTATGCCCAAAATCCTGAGAGGAGAACGGAGGAGAAGGGATTGTGGCATGGCCATCCCCCCGGGGGTTGATTTCTCTCTTTCTGCCTCTCTGTCTCTTTGTTCTCCAGTGAGCACACATACCCTATTGCAAAAATATCTCACAAAACAAAACAAAACAAACCCTTGTTTTCATATAACTTGGAACAAGAAGGATCCAATGTTTTCAGTATTTCATCATGTCAAAAATTCAATTAGTTTGAGTCATTTTTCTATTTTGTCTTCAGGAAGCCTCTTCCAAGAAGCCTGGAAGAGTCATGTCCACAAACATTAATCTTGCTTTGGTCTAGTGACCATGGGCAGCTCCTCACATCCTGACCCTGGCATAGCATCAACAGAAAAATAAGACGGTTTCATTATCTAAATTTAGGTTAAATTCAAACCCTCTGTTCTACTGACTCCAATTCTATTTTAGACAAAGGCTTGAA